GGCATTTCTGTATACCTTCCATTGTCATAAATGTTACGCAGACACTTAATATTCCTGAGTCTGAACTCATATCGCAACATGAAATTTACTTCATTTCCAACTAGGACACATGAAAAGATTCTTCACACACCCATAACTCGGGGATATCCTCAATCAAGATGGAAATCAAGCACCTAATAGTTCTTTTATCCTCCAGCAGACCTTTCTTGTCGCTTCCAAATCGTATGGATACATCTCGCAGCCATAACATACTCATTACATAGCCATTCAGCCATCACTTCTATCAATATGGCACTACCGAATGTATAAGTTCAAAAATACTTGCTCCCACAATCAGCACCTCGGTGCACAAGCTATAGGTAAAAATCTAGCCTCGAGTCCTCCAGACTGGCCCAACATCAACACATAGAGATCACATCTCGCCCCTTGCTCAGGAAATCACAAGCCATCGATGCACATCTGATACCGAGTGCTCATGCGCGCATACGAATGCGAGGAAGGAATTCAAAGAGTTACTTTTCAAGTTGAATCAAGGACGCACGATAAGAATTCAAGAATGTGAAATTTTTTCCTAAAGGTTCTGTAGCCTCCCGAGGATAAATACAGACATCTCTGTACCTATACGCGAGACTCTACTAAATCTGCTCATGACTCGTGAGACCTATATAACCTAGGCTCTGATACCAACTTGTCACGGCTCTAAACCGACCCGGTCGTGATAGCGCCTATCGTGAAACTAGGTCAGCCGACACAACTTCTGAATCAGCCATTTTTCCAATAAAAGTTATTTTATACCATTTAAAAACAATAATTCTCATAATAAAATGTTAAAGAAAAGTGTGGAATAATTACACGAGCCCGACATCAGGGTATCACTAGTCATGAGCATCTACCAAGGTCCGAGTACAACAAGAGTCTAAAAATATACTAAATACAGTAGTGAAAATGAGAGGAAGGAAAGCACTGTTGCAAACATCGTGCAGCCACCTTGCTAACTCCGACGACTCCGCCTCTGAACAATCAACACCTGCTACCGGATTTCAAAATACCTGAATCTACACACGAGGTGCAAGGAGTAATGTGAGTACTCCAACCCAGTAAGTAATAAGAGTAAATAAAGATTGATCAGTAAGAAACGATGAATCCACATTATGATAAACTCAGTAAGCACAATAGGCTTTCAAATCAGAATACGAGTCAATCGTCTCATTTAAAATCCAGCTTTGGGTAAAAATTATTTGAAAATGCTTTCCAACAGTTTTAGTAGGGGTTCAATACCATTTGTAATAAAAGAGATGAAAACCATAATCGGCCCCTCGGGTAAAACATAGTTCGTATACAGCCCCTCGAGCAAAACAGGAATCACAAACACCACATAACATAAAATCTCAGTGGAAATAATAAAGCCAAATTAATGATCGAATTCTGAACATCTCATAAAAACTCCAGCTTAAATGAAAGTTGTTTAAAATCATTTGTTCAACATTTTCAACAGAGGCTCAGTATAAAGAGGAATGGAAACAACAATTACATAAAAACAAGCCCATCGGGCAAAGCATCACTCATATATGTATACAGCCCCTCGGGCAAAGCCTCTCAGCCACTCGAAACTCAACTCTCATAATTCAGCTCTCACACTCAGCACTCACACTCAATAAGTACCATATAGTAACCGTTGTAGCGTGCAGCCCGATCCATATATCGCTGCGGCGTGCAGCCGGATCCAACATATCGTTACGGCGTGCAGCCCGATCCATATATATATATATATATATATATATTGCTACGGCATGCATCCCGATCCATAAATATAAAATCCTCACAACCAGGCCCTCGACCTCTCTTCGTCATTAACCTCACTATCAGACATTCGGTCTATCTCAGTCATTAACCTCACAATCAGACCCTCTGTCTATCTCAGTCAATACCCTCACAATCAGACCCTCGGTCTATCTCAGTCATCAACCTCACAATCACTCGGACCATCAGTAAAACAAGGAACTCAGCCCAAACAGTTTTTACATTTTAAGAATTAAAGTGATAAAAACCAGGTTTAAACAATAAACAAGTAAATCATAACTGAGGATATGCTTTCAAAATAAATAGAGTGAGGAAATATAGTAAAAATGCCCCTAAGGGTCTCAACAGGTCAGCACAAGGCCCCAAACATGGCTTACAACCCAAAATATAATATCAATCTCTAAAATATGGAATATCATAAGATTTCAAATCAAATACGCGACTTAACAATCTTACGGGACGAACCAAGTCACAATCCCCAATGGTGCACACCTCCACGCGGCGACCCGCTCTCGCCGCGGGAGCAGCTCGAATAGCACAATGATGTGAAATTCGGGGTTTCAAACCCTCAGGATAGCATTTACAATCATTACTTACCTCGATCCGGTCCAAACTCTAGCCCTCAATGCCTTTTCCCTCACGAATCAACCTCTGGATGCTCCAAATCTAGCCACAATCAGTACATAACCATTAGAATATGCTAAGGGAACAAAGCCCACTCGAAAATATCCAATTTACATAAAAAATCCCGAAATTGCTACAACCGGCCCCGAGCCTACATCTCGGAATTCGATAAAAGTCACATCAATAGAATCCTCATCTTCTCACGAGTCTATACATACCAAGAACATCAAAATCGAACCTCAAATGGCCCCTCGAATCCCAAATTCTAGGTCTCCAATTACAAACCCTAGTTCTTCAATACTAGGCTTAAATACCATGATTAATTAGGTAGAATTCACAGAAGAAACGAGTATAAAGTCCATAAATCTTACCTCCAAGTGATTCCCCTTGAATCCCTCTTCAATGCTCTTCAAAAAGCTCCAAAAACGACCAAAATGGTGGAAATAAACCTTAAAATCACGGACAAGACGACTATTTAAACATTCTGCCCAGGCCTGAAATCCTTCTTCGCGAACGCGGTCAAAGCCTCGCGTTCGCAAAGCACAAAATAACTGACCAGAATTTCCTCTTTGTGATCGCGACCTGCCCATCGCGAACGCGATGCTTCCTCAGACTAAACCTACGTGATCGCGTTACACCACTCGCGAACGCGATGAATAAAAATGTCTCAAGTCTAGCTGACCAAATTACTCTACGCGAACGCGGTCCACTCTACGCGAACGCGATGACCATTTCTCTACAACACTGATCAGCAATTTTCTGCAATTCCAAACAACATGCAATGGTTCGATTGACCACCCGAAACTCACTCGAGGCCCTCGGGACCTCAACCAAACATGCCAACATATCCCATAACCTCATTCAAACTTGTTCCAACCTTTGGAACGCTCAAATCAATAATAAAACACTAAAATCACATCGGATTCAAGCCTAAGAATTTCAAGAACTTCCAAATCATGCTTTTGATCAAAAACCCAAACAAACCACGTACGAATGACCTGAAATTTTGCACACACGTCACAATTGACACAACGGAACTACTGCAACTTTCAAAATTCCATTCTGACCCCTATATCAAAATCTCACCTATCAACCGAAAAACGCCAAAATCTCAATTTCGCCAATTCAAGCCTAAACCTTCCAGGGACTTCCAAAATGCATTCCGATCACGCTCTTAAGTCCCAAATCACCTAACGGACCTAAAAAATCATAAAAATTCCGATCCGAGATCATATACCAACAAGTCAAATCTTGGTCAAACTTTTTAAATTTCAAGCTTTAAATTGAGAACTGTTCTTCCAAATTCATTCTGATTACCCTGAAAACCAAAATCAGCAATTTACATAAGTCATAATCCATCACACGGGGCAAGTCATGCCCAACAACTGACGAGCAAGGTACAAAAACTCAAAAAGACCGGTCGGGTCGTTACAATAAGAACCTAAGGGACAGCTTAAAAGAGCTTAAGGGGTCCAAAAGCATATAGGAGTCTGAGACCTCATTTTCAGTCAACTCGGACCCAAGAGTCCCATTGTTCTGAGCTCGCATCAAATTGATTTAAGCTTAGATCGAGGACCATCTAAAACCTTAAGGAATATTATATTGAACAATAAAAACCTAAGGGTTTATTACGTTACGAGTCTGAACCGATACTCGAGCTGAGTATTTGAATCATCGAAATTTTCCACAAACGAAAACAAAATAAAATTTAACACAAATCGAGGATAGAACAAAAAGATACGTTATACTCATAAGGGAAATTTACAAAACATATTTACAATGCACTCAAGGTACCCTTGCACAAAAAAGAAAACCTAATCTATTTTGGGGGTCACACCCTCGGGAGCGTCATTTTCAGAAACTGTTTCTTCAGCGGCTCTATATTCGGGAGTCTCCTCTCCCTCGGGAACATCTTCTTCACATTCATCATCCCTGGAGCCACTTGCTACATCTTTATCATCGGAGGAAACAAGAAACCTAGCATCGGTTTTCCGTGCCTTTGCCTCGGCTATCTCCTCGGCAAGGTTGAACCCTCGGGCATGGTTTTTTCGAGAGTCTCTCTTCGGGCCTGGCACTTAGCCAATTCATTGCTTCATTTTCCCCTGTCGGAGGCCTCCCTCAACTTAGTTTTAACGTCTGTGGCTTCCCTCAAGAATATGGTAATGGATTTATCAGCCGCAACCTTCATCTTCTCAGCTTCAGCCTTAGCCTGTACAGCTTCGGCCCGGGCTCTAGCTAGCTCAGCCTCTAACTCCTCAATTTTCCTAGCCTGAGCCAGACCCTTTGCTTCAATGCTTCGGAGCTGAGTTTCAGCCGAGGCTAGTCGGGCTGTAGCAGCTTTCTTATCGGCAGCAAGCTGATCCATGTTCTTCTTCCACTGATGACAATCAGCTCTAACTTGATCAACTTCACCTCGGAGCTGCCCAATCATCTCTAGCTTTTGCTGCAGCTGAGATATCGAAGTGTTAGCCTCCGAAGTAGGGCCAAGAAGGCCGAACTCTGTTAAAATCACAGTTACCTACTCATCTAGCTCGGACTCGCTTTTTTGAGCTTTGGCCAATGCGGTCCGGAGATTCTTAAGCTCCTCTTCCTTTTGGCCGCAGAGAAGCCTCAGGACTTTCTCTTCGCCGAGCAAAGAAAGGGAGTGACCTGTTGTCGCGGCCACGAGCTCTTCACTCAGGGCATTCTCATTAGCATCGGTGATCTCAGCATTTACCCTTCTGGTATAGTTGTTGAAGACAGAGGGACGATCTCAACCTCCAGGGACAGGGGGGCCTTGCCCTCTTCTTCCTTCGGGGTCCCCTTACCACAGGATGAGGTTTCCAGTTTAGAAGGCTTGGCGGCCTCGATTGGTTTCCTGGTTCGAGTCACCAACCCCGACTCTTCACCATCATTTTCTTCATCATCCAGGGAATCATGGGCCAAATCTGCGCCCGTTTGAGCAAATCTTTTCCGCAACCTTCGAGCAGGGGTTTTCTTGTCTTGAGGGTCTTCGGTCTTCGAAACCCTTTTTCTTTTATTATCCTTCTCAGACTTTGGATTTGAAGGCTTGGTATTTTCCCTGGGCGGAGCCGGCCTCATCTCGGATGCATCACCAAGGCCTGCGCAAGTGAACGTTAGTAAGTTGACGCTAACAATATACGAAGAGTGTTTAAAACTTAGGAAAAGCACTAACCATGGTTCTTGGACTCCCACTAGACTATCGATAGTTTGCGGCACTTACGCTCATCATAGGAAGAGGTGGCGGCTAACTTTCGGACCCAATCCTCGAGGTCGGGCACCGCTTGAGGCACCCAGGCATCGGCTGCCAAAAGAAGGGTAAAGGTGTTATGAAATGTGAAAGCAGAATGTGAATAGATATTGGGAATACGAACTCCACTTATGATTAAAGTTTCACCTATCCGGGAACGGCATTTTATCCCCGGGGATGATATCCGAAGTTCTTACTCTAACAAACCGGCTCATCCAACCTCGATCTTTGGTTTCGTCAGTACTGGAAAAGAAGGCTTTTGTTGTTCGGCGCTGCAACTTGATAAGCCCTCGGAATAACTGAGGCCGATACAATCAAATCAGGTGGCTAAGGGTGAATTCCAACCCCTCGGCCTTTCGGAAAAATACCGCAGCATGATCACGATACGCCAGAAAGAGGGGTGAATCTGATCGAAGGTGACTTCATACGTTTTGCAGAAGTCGATCACCACCGGATCGAGAGGACCCAGTGTGAAGCGATAAGTGTAAACACTTAGAAATCCATCCACGTGAGTGGTAATGCTTTCCTCGGGGCTCGGGATCTGAATCACGACCTCATCTCCCTAGCCACAGTCCCTCCTCACATCTTTGATGAGCTTCTTCGATATCAAACTAATATATCGAGATGCATGCTCGCCTTGGCCTGGGAAATCAGGGGGATTCTCAACACTAAAGTCCTTCTTAATTATGCAAGGACCGGGGGTGATTTTCTCAAGAGTTGGAGGCACCACCGGTTTGGCCGGTCGGGAGGCAGAAGAGGATGATGTTTTATCCTTTTTGGGGACCGTCTTGGAAGTTTTAGCCATGATTGTAAGCTAAAGAATTTGGGTTGCACAGGGATGTGGTGTTTCTTATAAGAGCTTGGCATTTTTCGGCGCTTAAAGAAGCGGTGAAAACGGGTAATTAGAGAAAGAGATGAAGAGGGGAATAATGTAAAGAAAGAGTAAAGTTCTTCACTCAGAGGAATCGCCTCATATTTATAGATGGGCAACGACGGTTCGGCGATACTAGTGGCCGACCAATACTGGCGTGCATTCAATATTTTGGGAAAATGGGCCGACGGGACGTTTCGGTCACTTTGAACGTTTGCATCACAGAAATGGCATCATCATAAGAGGTTCGAGAAAATCGGGGTTCAAATCATTTCTTATCATCTTACTCTAAGAAATGCGGAGACTATCTATATAAGGTCGAGATCGCATGCCTTCGATCTATATACTTGAGAGGTCGTCCGAATTCCAAGTCCTGGTAAGACCAAGTTCGAGCTCAAGGGACCAAACTCGAGTTCGAAGACGGAGCATGATGCATACCAAGGTCGAGTGTGCTCGACCTCGAAAAAGTACCGTTATGGATTTGTACCAAAACGAGTTGGATTCCTGACACATCCCCAAAGTCATGGCGTAAATCCCGAAATATAATTGTACTATTCGGTACTAGGCGATTAGACAATTGTACCAAGAATATTTCTTACTGTAAATAGAAATATTCCTTATTTAGGGTTCCCCTATTATATAAAGGGGACCCAATCATTTGTAAGGGGATCTCATCATCATTAAGAAAAGAATATACTCACTACCTTTTTGTCCACTATTCACGAGCATTGTCCTTTAACTCCATTGTTCTTACTTTATTTTAACACTTAATTGTTTTGACTGCCCTAAGCCACCTCGAGGTCACTGCTGCTAAGTGACATTGGTTTTGATTCACTTCTATGTTTCATTTCTATTCCATATTTTTTATTATTAATTGGTATTGAACTAAATCACATATCTTTAAAATCACTAATCAAATATAATTGTTACTCATATTTTCGAGAAAAACTCCTTCAAAAACCCAATTCTTTCACCAGAAAACCCAATTCTTTGTGTTTTAAGTTATTTGGACTATATGTGCGTGGGTTTGCAAACTTAGAGGATGAACTGTGTTTAGGGTTATATTTAGAGAACAAAGTTTAATTTACCCTCAAAGATAAGGGATAATTTTGACTAAAAACTGTAGTGTTGCGAGTATTTTGATAGTGTGTGTGTGTTTTGTAATATATAAGTATCCACCGTCCTTCAACCAAAACTCTGACCCTTTTTCCTTACCAAAAATAAAAAGTTTAATTTTTCAATATACTGACAGTAGAAAATTAAATAAAGTAAGTAATCTNACCAAAACTCTGACCCTTTTTTCTTACCAAAAATAAAAAGTTTAATTTTTCAATATACTGACAGTAGAAAATTAAATAAGGTAAGTAATCATTTACAGTATGTTAAGTTATATACTGATAGTGCAAAAATTTAATTACTTTATCAAGAAATATAAATGAAATTCAAGACAAAATGATAGTTATTAAACTTTGAACTTGGGGTGCTTTGTAAAGGCAAGTGCAAATGTGACAATTTAGAATAATGCTTTACTTTGCTGAATTATGACTCATATATCATCTCCATGGCTGAGCATTCTATGTATTATATGGATAACCCCAAAATTCAAAAAGAAAAAATTCTGATAATAGTGTAAAAAATTCTTTATACTGTTGTGTGTATGTATAACTTAAATATATTATAAGGAAAATGCAACAAAAAAAATTGAATAACATACAAAATAAGGAAAAACAAAGAAGATGAAAGGCTAGTTTGCATGTCATGACTTATAAGCACCAGCATTACTTGAGGTCCCATCTCATATGATCAAAACCACAAAGATAGTCACAATAATATGAACCCTGTCAACATAGTTAAAAACCAACATAAATTAAAGGAAAGAAATATAAATATGAAAAATTAGAATGGAAATAAAAAAGTTGTAAATGTCTCAATAGATGAATAAATCACCATTGCCTTTTTATAGTAGTAATAGTAGCAGCAGACGCTGGGGGCGCTGGTACTGGATTTGGACTTGGTGGTGGTGTTGGAGGGGGCGCTTGCACGTTCCCTGTAATTTCCGCACACAAAAAAATCAAATCAAATAAAACCATATTTTTCTTGCACAACTATATTTTGATTTTTCCAAAGAAAATAAGATAAAATTTATTTAAGGAAAGAAAATAACATAGGAACTAACCACAATAAAGCAGAGTTTTTGGGGGAAGATATTCTTTTGCAGGATTAGGATCAGAGTCATAAACTCTGATATAAAGCTCTTGTCCTAAGAACCAATGTTTCAAATTTTGTGACCTTAAATTCCACATCCCTGGATTGTCTAAATATACATATACTGCTGTCCATCCTTTTGGATACACCTATGAAAAATGTTCATTAATTTGATAATATTTTAGCATAGCTAAATTGCTAGGAATTTGATTGTTTTTGTTTTAAAAAAAAAATAATAATTACCTGAACAGTGNATATATATATATATATAATTTCAAAAATCATGGGATAATTCTTATCTCGCATATGTTTTAGGATTATTGAATTTTACTTATTATATAATAAAATTACAGAATAATTTTTTTGTTATATTAAAGTAACAAAATGTTAGCAACTTAACATTAATTTACTACATTGTATCCATAATAACATTAAAGTAACAAAATGTTAGCAACTATAACATTAATATACTATATTGTATCCACAATAACAATAAAGTAAACACTATTATTTTTCATTAAAGTAATAATACTTTACCCATTATAGTTCACCAAACTGTATCTATTATAATGACAACCTAAGGCGACTTATTGTTGAAGTTAAGTCACTTTAATATGACAAAAAATAATTGTGACCTCACTATTAAAATGAATAAAGTTCAATTATTTTAATATGACAAAAATAATTTTATAATTTTATTGCTATAGAGAAAAAAGTTCACCACCAAATTAAAAGCTTGCCGTGGGATGATAAGTATCCCAATTTTGGGTTCGAGCCCTGAAATATTGCCACATTTGATAAGTGTTATACTTTCCAAAGTGTAATTTTTAGCATGGGTTCGGATTAATCGGAATCCAAAACAATGGTAAAAGGCAGTTCAATGCACGAATAATTCCGCGTTTACAAGGTTCGGAAAGGGCCAAAGTGGATTAAAAAAAAGTTCAATGACCACAAGGAAAATAAAAAATGGACCATTTTTGTATACTTACCCAACAACAAAGAAGCCAAATCCATCCAAGTGCCAAGAGTCCATCACTTTTAGCTCATTTTTAAAGACAATTTCCAGCCATCCTTTGTGTTCGCCGGAGACAACAAACGTGCCGTAAACAGTCTCCGGTAGGCTACTGTTCGCCGGAAATTTGTCGAGCTCGTAAACTCCGGCGCCGCCGTTAAGGTAATAATCCGCCAATTTTAATGGCGTTTGTGGTGTAACATAAGAGACATTGTTAATGGCATAATTAATCATACCATTCTTTTTGTTCACTGAATTTTGGAGAACAAAAGTTTGTGATAATGTCACATTTGATACATTAAATGACCCTTGTGGATTAGGCCTTGCTGCACCTGTTGTCAAATTCAACCTGCGGAAAAAAAGAAGAATTGACCTAAATAGTCGATGACCCAACATGTTTGACCAAGCATCTAAAATCAACTTATTTTGAAAAATGCTTATTTCTGGTGGGAAACAGTTTGTGTTTGGTTAAATTAATTTGAAAAGCACTTTTGAGCAACAATTAATGTTTGGCCAAACTTTTAAAAAACGCTTATAAGTATATTTTTCTCAAAAGTGCTTTTGGGGAAAAACTACTTTTTTCTACTTCTCAAAAGCTGCTTCTGCTTCTACTCAAAAGTATTTTTTTTTTCTTCTAAAAAATTGGTGAAACACGTTAACTTTGAAAAAAATATTTTCTCTACTTGGCCAAACAGGCTATATGATCAAAAATGGATTTTTTTAGATGGGCCTACCTGATGGATCTAGCTTGACTGATAGAGAAATTCACATCAAATGGATCAGGCCCATTTGGAAGAGGCCCATTAGCAGGTTTGGTAGAGTTTTCGTAATGCAACACAGCAACAACCTCCAGAGTTTGTAGTTGAGTTGAATTTGCCATTTTTGCAGTGGCAACTATGTAATAATGAGCAGTATCTTGATGAGCTGTGACAAGAACAGAGTAGGATTGGCCCATGTGGACGTCCAGCGAATCCAGCGTAATTTGATTGGTATACGATCCTTCGGTCTCGACCAATACCATGCTATGGTTTTGGATCCTAAAATTATAACTCCATTCACTTCCCACATTTGAAATCCTCAATCTGTATGTTTTTCCTGAAAATCAAAATTATTGTTAATATTCAAATATACTTTTTGCCGTAGCATATTTTCACACTTTGTGATCGGATTTATAATAGCGGTCGAAAAAATCATAATTCAAACTGCAATATGACGATAATTATGCGAGAAAGAAAAATAGGGGCTATTATTTATAATTAATAATTGAAAAATAGTCTCAGCTTCAAAATTAATCGAAATTTAGTCACTTTTTCATGTAAAGATAAAATCTGAACAAAAATACCTTTAAAATCTGAAAAAAATTCCAGTATAATATGTTGGAGGTCAAATATTTTACATGTGAGATTCCAGCATAATGTGCTGAAATTTCATAATTTGTTGGAATTCCAACATAATATGCTGGAAGCTTGTACATTGAGAGCTTCATAGTCCGGCATTTCGTGTTTTGAACTAGGGTAATTTTTGCTATGATTTTATCTTCGCATAAAATAATATCTATTTTTCAATGACTTTGCAAATGCTGAATATTTGCAATTATCAGTTCGAAAATTGGCTAGCCCTTGCTATATCATAGAAAAAGGTAAATATTGGGCTTATTACCTTGTTGTACTGTGAAGGATTCATTGGATTTTGCTTTCGGGTCCAAATATGAGCCTTTCCCATTCATAAGCATAATGTTTGGAGTATTTTTATAGCCCTCATGTCCCAACTTGTCTCCAATAACCTATTCATTTTTGCACAAGTCCAGAAAAAAAATTAATTAAAGAAATTTTAACTTTTATTTAGGTAAAAAAAGCATATAACTCAATTTTCGAGAAAATTATAATTTAGGACAAGTGATATTGACTTTTGATCTACATGATGTATTGTTTAGAAATGATACTAGGTAACCACTCTAATGGGCTGCTATTTAGGAATCACCTAATGTCTCATGAATTTCAGTTTTTAGTTTAATTTTTCATGATACGAATATCCTGAATTGTCCCTTAATTAAGATTTTTAGTTAAAATATTCATGACAAATAAATATTGGCTAATTCCTAAATATCGGACGTAAGGATGGCTATTTGTGCACAGAACCTTACGTACAATATTAGTTTTTTCCTAGGACGAGACTCTTGCAAATAAATGGTTGTTTCAATGCCTTTTTGATTATATTCTTATTATTATTGCTAAATACTAATTCCCTCCAGAAAGAAATAAGATTTTTTATATTTTGATTTTAGACATGTTATAATATTTTGTGCGCGTGTAAAAATTTGTCATTAAGGCTAAAATAATGAGTTTAAATTAAATTATTTTAAATTTTAGAAATGATAATTGTTTTTCTTAACAGTCAAAAAAAAAGGATTACATAAACTGAAATAGAGGACATAATTTTTATTATTGAAGAGACAACTAAATTAAGGAAAATTGTTTACCTCAAAGCTATCTTCATACCAATCACCAATGAGAAGATTGAAATCACCATCGGGCTCAGCNGAGGCCCAGGAAACTTACCATTGATAGTTATCACCTGAAAATGTACAAAATCAAGATTACAAATTAAACCTTGAAGACAATAATTTTGCATATACTTATACAGAAGGGGAGCCTTGGAGACAACTTTAGGTCCATGTGACTTATAGGTCACGGGTTTGAACTGTGGAATCAACCACCAATACTTGTACTAGGGTCTAGGGTACACTACCTACATTTTTAAGGTGCAGTCCTTCCCCAAACCCTACATGAACGCCAGATATTTTATGCACTGGAAGGCCCTTTTTTTGTTGAGATTTTTACATGGTAGGTCTCTTATTTAAGACTATATATATAAATAACATCACTTGTGGTTTATTTCAATAATGAAAGATTTTTTACGATTTGGGCAGGTTTAGAAAATAAATAGATCCCACTAAATCAAGCATTTATTTTTATTCCCTTCTTCATCATTAAATGTTTCTCTCTCATCTATATGGTAATGAAAATATGAAAAATTCAACTTTTGAAATCAGCCATTGATGCTTGCATGAGGTAGGCTACCTATATTTCATCCCTTTGGATGCGACCCTTCCCCGAACCCTGCGTGAATGCAGGATATTTCATGCAATCTGCCTCTTTGTTCACTAACATAGAAAACCAGTCAAGTAATAAAGAAAAAAAAATGAAGAGTTTTGAAATCATACTGGTTGATCCACAGAGATTGGTTTGATATTATTGTCTTCAGCAACATGCCATTCAAGAAAAATTTCTTCTCCAATAATGGCTTGCATGGAAAGTAAAGAGCAAAGAACCAACGAGAGAACTAGCCATATTGGTGATCCCCTCATTGATTATATTCTCCTTAATAAATTATTAATCTCACTATAATTATGATGATTAATGAAGCTAGAGATACAAAGGGGGTTTCAATATATAGGTTTAGAAACGTTGTATTCTGTGAAAAGGAGGAGTTAAAGAAGAAAAATTAAAGCTCAGACAAAAGAGGCAAAAAAGATGAAAAATTCTTTATAGCTTTCTCTTTCAGAGCATTGTTTTTCTCTAATAATAAGCAGTACACAACTATATATTTGCTGGATCCTGCAGACCCTTATATAAGCTACGTATTTGTTATCGATAGGATATTAACTTTTGCGAATATTATATTTCCTTAAGATGACCATAACTATGGTTATGAAAAGAGAGCAATTATTTTTTAAAAACAAGACAAAATTACTAGACTAGCAAAATATGTTATTTTGCCATCCAAGATTGCTCATTATTATTCTCTTTCTCATAATTGTCTCTTCCACGTAGCTGCAGTAAAACTCGCCAAATTTATCGCAGTAACTTTTTTTTTTTTTTTGGAACCACCACTATATAATAACCTGCAAATTACACAGAGAATTTAAACTATACTAGGCAAGCCCCGTGCGACAGACTCAGACCCAGAGGGCATTGAGGTGGTTCGAACCTGCGTCGCCCGTGTGAACAACGCCATCCAAACCCAACTGGGCCGTCCCTTCGGGACATTATCACAGTATTCTTTAATAGGAAAAAATAGAAAAAAAAAACTAACAACATTGAGATGTACTATATTATATACTTACGTTTTATTATGCATTTAACTTTTATAATGACAGGGCAAAAAGTTTTACACCATCAAATTAATTACTTAATAAATAACTACATATAACTTTTACACTTATTATAAATTATCAATAACAAATAAGATGTAATTTTGAAAAAAAGTATATTATATTATAACAAGTTAATATAATATATTGGTAGTATAAAAAAATATTTTTTTAAATTTTTTTTTTAAACAAGTTAAATTTTTTTTTATTGTATAATGAAGTTGAAGGATAGCTCACATGGTGTGCATCTTAACTTTTAATTTTTAGTGTACGAACGTAGAGGAGTTTATTAAAACTCAAAATGAAGTAGGATAAAAGCTTATGTGCATCCAAGTGTTTATACCAAACAAATGAATGCAAGACATATACTCTTGTATACTCACATTTATTACTTCACCATAGATATTATATGTATTTTCAACTTAATTTTTAATTGTTGAGATTAAATTATTTGGTTTAATATAAACATCGGGCAATACTAAATGGATCCTTCAATAAATGAAATTAATGAAATGAGTTACTAGTATTAAGCTGAAATAGGTAGAGCAGGTCGAAGGACTGCATCCCTTATAGTTGTATAAAAGTATCAAAAGAAACTGTTTATGTTTAATTTTGAAAAAATAAAATTAAAAATGTTTCACCCTTGGTTTTGACGGTAAATCTGTCTGTTCAAATAAGTTAAGTCAGGAGAAGCTTTAAACTAAAAGGAAACACCGCGCAATGCAAACTGAAGTAGTTTCAGATATATATTATTCAAAAACTTCACAACATAAATTTCGTAATAGAAAAAGAATAGAATAATTACTCTTCCACGGCGTTTTGGTCCATCTGTTCAGTTAAATTCGTATTGAGTAACTTAATTCTGTTACGTCGCGCTATGAAAAATATAAGCTTAATGATTTATGACTTAAAAATATAAATTGTTGTGTGACGTTTATCATTTTACTGCCTATATCATGGTAATTCTAACGAATGTGTTATAAATATAACTAGTATCAGTACTCGCATGATGCGCGGACAAATTATTTCAAATTGCGATGTAGGTTGTTTGAATTATCTACAAATAACCTTAAAATATAAACCTCTCAGATAAAAATTATATAACATGGGAATTTAATTATGAAACATGATATGAAATTATTGTTCAAATCTCGTAGTGAACAACCAATCTTTTTAATATATATTTGTAGCAACCTAACCCCTTGATTTTGGTACTTGTATTTCGTTCCGCTGTCGATATTAAAGAATACTAAACATGTCATATTGTGATCTCTCTTGTTTGAGCACATTAGATCATATTATCTTAACAAAATTCTTATTATCACTTTGTTTTTATCTGGAAGTCAAATATATCTTATTCATCACATCACTTTTACATAAATTCTTTTTTTTTGTTCTTTTATTATAGTTATTGTATTATTTAATATTTAATATTATTATACTATCATATAATTTGTTTATTAGCTTATAATTAAATTAATGTCTTACTTTTTATCCTTTTAATAGTATTTAATAAAAATAAATATTTTATTCTTGAAATTTGGTATATTTTTATGCTTTTATCCTCTTATTCATAATATTTTAATCATTTAAATTTATCAGTAATATTTTTAAATATAATTTAATTATTTTATTTTATCTATTTTTAAATTAATTTAAAGTATAAGTATCCTCACACTACCTCAATTTTTTTTATATATACATTCTCTTCCTACTACAAATGTTAATTAGTTTTTATATTAATGTTTTACCTAGATCCAAAATAATGTCATATTTTATTTTAAATTGTAACTTTTAATTAGTCTAAAATATTAATACATAAGTTATTTGATTATCATGTTCCAAATGAATTGAGTTCTCTTATAATTAATTTTGTATTAGATGCAGTTAAATTTTCGTCCTTTTTTAGCTATAAGATACAATTTAATCTTTAATTTTCATTAGTAAGATTACCAATATTAGAAATTTATTTCGTATTTTTAAAATTTTATTTAATCATAGAAAAAAATTTCTTAATTGTTTTAACACATTATTTCTAAATATTGTAGTAATATTTTTACTGTCATTTTAGTTCTTTACATAATATTTTAAAAAAGAAAAAAATAATCTCATCTCAAATTCAAATAATTCTTACATTCTATTTTCTAAAATGGACCGCATTTTTAAAAAATTATGCTATGCATTCAAACTCAAACTAACTGCACTCAATTTAGATATTAATCATAGAAAAATATTTTCGTAATTGTTTGAACATATCTAAATGTTGTAATAATATTTTCATTATCATTTTATTTCTTTACATAAATTTTCTTTCTTTTTTAGTTTTAAGATACAAATTTAATTTTTGTAAAATTACCTATATTAGAAATTTATTTTGTCGTTTAAAAATTTTATTTTTTATTATTGTTTTATCTTTCACAAGTAAGACTTTAATTTCGTGGTATTATCCATAATTTGAGCATTCGCACCATAGTTTTAAGAACTTTCTAATCTCAAATTCAAATAGCTTTTTCTTTTAAATTTCTAATAATTTAACATAATTTTGCTATTTTTTAATCTATAGTCTTATTACATTTTATGTGGCTTTTCATTAACTTGTAAATTTATTTAATATCATTATCAACTACTTTTCTTTAATAATATAAGATAAATATATAATTTTTTTAATTATGAAATAAATATTTATTTTGTTTTAAAAACATTGCTCGAAAATTTTAAATTATTTAAAATTTAAAAATATTTTTAAGTATTGTATATTTATTTTATTTTATTTTCTAAACTTATGATTTATAAATGTCCTTACATTATCTCTAATTTATTTTTATTGTTCAATTTCTTTAGTTTTTGATTTTAACTATTAGACTTGAGTTATGTGGACTTATATTATGACTTTTCTTAGTATAATATAAAAAACTTTCTCATCTGAAATTCAAATAAGTTTGACCCTTTTTCCAATGATAAAAAATTTGATTTTTTATTTTTTCTCTATTTATTCGTTATTTTTGATTTTGTTTTATTCAATAATATTAACATTGTCATATGAATTTTTATTAGCCTGTTTGAATTTAGTATTTATTTTTGCCACACTCATTCTAATATAATATAGATAAAAATTTAAAAACTTTCTCATCTCAAATTTAAATAATTTTTATCATTCTATTTTTTTTTAATTGGACCATATTTTTAAAAAATTATGTTATGCTTTCAAATTTAAACTAACTGAACTCAATTCAAATATAATCATAGAAAAATATTTTTCTTAATTGTTCGAACACATTATATCTAAATGTTTTAGTAATATTTACGTATAAAATATTCGTTTGCACGATTTATCAGTACTAATATGAATTTATAATTCTTGTTATCTTTTGTTGATTATT